CTCCCCCTCCCTCCCGCCCCCCATGCTGGAGTTCAAATAGAAAAATTCATTTTGTAGTCCAGGCTGGCTTCAAATACAGGTTGGCTTCTGGTTTCTAGCTCCTGAGTGCTGGGATCATGGGCTTGGTGCTAAATCTCCTTTGAGAGACATTCTTACCTTTTTTAGGGTCACAAACTCATTTTCTGCAGCTGTGCGCTTGTTAATTTCATCTTCATACCTGTAAATATGGGAGTCAGAGGGATGTGTGATTGAGCAAAGTGTCCACTTAACTCTTCTCTGGCTGCTGTAGCAAGAGTTAAAAGACCTCAAATCCTCTCCAGATCTTCTGTGACCTGTGCATGACTTTGGGTGATTCACTTAACCTCTATTTCTTCCTCTATAAAGGCAGATAATTTCTTCTGCCAGTTAAAAATAAAACTTTTATAAGCCTAGAAGGTGAGCATGGACTCATGGGAATAGAATTATGTGCTTAGGCAATTCCATTTCTTTATAGATGCTTGGTCCTAATCACTCCAACTGCATGCCGCCTCAGTGCCTGCTGAACCTGCAGAGAAAGCTTCATTTGTTCAGGACAGTCTTCCAGGCAGATTTTGGGATATTTTCACCAGGCCTCAGGGCGACTTTTGTGAATAGGTGGCACTCAAGCCAGCTAAGGGCTCACCAGGGCACCCCTTTCCTCTAGCTACTTCTCCCACTGTAGCCCAAACGATGAACAGACAACAGTTGCCTCTGTAAGGAGCACCAGAAACCCTCCTCCTTCGTTCTATCCTTCTTCACCCCCGAGCTCATACCATCTTGGAAATTCAAGCCATCCCAGCCCTGAGCTCATGCCCAATGGGGCTAAATAATGTGCAGAACACAAAACAACATCATTGACCAGAATGAGCAACAGTGCCTGTGTTGTCAGATGATGCTGATTGGTACCCTTTGCAGTCGTGCAGACAGGTATAATCAGGCTGCCTTGTAACAGTGATGCTAAGGAAGGTCCCTCTGCTACTCTGCTTGTGCTGTCTTTGCCTACTGTACTCAGGGCTGCACATTCCAATGCTCCTAGCTGACACTGCATTCACTCCTTTGCACTTCTCTGGACCTCAGAGGAAGTAGCCCTGGGGGTAGTTGTGTGTAGTCAGGAGCCTGTCCCCGACTCACCTGACTTTGAAGTCTTCTACGACCTCCTGCGTGTTCCTCAGTTCAGCATCTAGCCTGCCCCTCTCGGCAGTGATGCCGTCCAGCTGTCGTCGGAGGTCATTGATGTATGTGTCGAATAAGGGTTCCAGGTTGTGTCTCACGGTTCTGGAGCCTTGCTCTTGCAGGAGGCTCCACTTGGTCTCTAAGACCTTGTTCTGCTGTTCCAGGAAGCGTACCTGCAGAGGACAGACAGAGACAGAGTGAAGTTTGCTTGAGAAGCTGGGGAGACAGAGCCAGCACTCCTGATGGCAAGGAAGACAAGCCAATGGGGGCTGTTGTTCCATGCCCATCTGGCAGGTGTGTAAGTGACAACTCCACCCTCAAATGAGAAAACCCATGAAGCTACCCCAGAGATTCTAGAGATTCCATAGAGTAGGCATGAGAGAGAACAGCCTCTATGAGGGAGCCATTCAGCTGGGGTTGAGATTCTCAGTGCTGCTGCTCTGGGTCAGGTAATTGGATGGAGAATCCCAGACAGGGGGCATCTCTACAAGGTCCTATGAGTCAGCTGGCCTGACTTGAAAATGTCTCTGCCCATGGCTAGTGGTGGGTGATGAGTGCTCTTCCCCTGCAGACCCTGATTATTGCTGTCTCTTCTGAGCTAGCTTTCTCCAGCTTAGTCACTCCATGCACTGGGACCTGGGAGGGATAAGCACAGGCCCACCTTGTCAATGAAGGAGGCAAACTTGTTGTTGAGAGTCTTGATCTGCTCCCGTTCCTCTTTCCGAACCCTCTGGATGGTGGGGTCGATTTGTAGGTTAAGGGGGGTCAGGAGACTCTGGTTGACTGTGACTTCTTGGATGCCTCCAGAGGGGCAGACAGGAAAGCCAGCGCCCCCATAGCCTCCTCCAATACCTCCCCCATAACCAAACCCACTGCTGACCCCAAACCCAGTGCTAGCCCTGCCACCAAAGCCAATTCGGAAGCCGCTTCCAGCACTCCCACCGACGGAGACCCGCTTGGACCCCCCCAGGTTGTAGAGGCTGCGGCTTCCAAAGCCAGTCCCAGCGCCACTGATCCTGCCCAGGGCCCCGCTGTTTCCTGAAGAGCGGGCCACAGAAGCGGAGCTGAAGCGGGAGCGGCCAGTATTTGCGGTGGTAGCTGAGGCAGTGCTGAAGCCCCGACGGCTGCCGGTGTGGAAAGTGATGGTGGACTGCCGAGACATGGTGGGAGAGGAAGGCTGGTGAGAGACGATCCCGAGGTAGATGCGTAAAGGGGCTGGAGAAGCCAGGCAGTTGGAGAACTGCAGGCCCCTGGGCTTTTATGAGCCTCCATAAAGGGCGGGGCTGGACTAATGAAGGGAGCCCTGCTGATGGCATCCCCTAGGCATCCACCAGTCCTGAGCTCACCCTCAGTATCCCGCAGGTCGTCCTCTTTTTTTTTTTTTTTTTTTAAAAAAAAAAAAAAAAAAAAAAAAAAAAAAAAAAAGCGCTACTGGTTAGCTCCTGGCCTCACCTTCCCCCACATGGAAACTCCTTTCCAGTTGCAACTTGATCAGCAGACCAGCTAATTGCTTTCAGTCATGTCCTAATCATGCATCCTCTAATAGACTCAGAAAACACTGCCTCATTTCTGAACCGCTTTCTTAGGTCTGGGACCAACTCCCTCCTGTCCAAACATCTTGTGTCAACACAAACGCTGCAATGCACTGTTTCCGGTTCCTTAGCATGCTTCCTATGCCTGAGAACTGTCTCAGCAGCTGCTGGGTGGCTCTCCCAATCCCATCAGGCTGGCCCTTCAGGTCTAGCGCATCTTCTTTAGGCTTCCATCCATTGATGGTCCTTTTGTTTTGCTCTTCAGGATTCATGCCTGTTGGGTATCATAAAGCACTTTCTAGAACATGTATGTTGGTGTACACATGCTTATACACCATGCTAGCACCAATGTCGTGGGCCCTTTGAGGCCATCCAGCATTCTGTCTTCTGTGAACAGACATGAAAGAAGAGAGACAGGTTTGAATCCCAGCCCCTCCCCCTCTTCCCAGTGCCTAGCCATGGGACCTTGGGCTCATCCTGCAACTTTTCTGAGCCCAACGTATGTCTGTAAAATGGGGTTTGTGGTCAGCGTTATTAATGGTAAGTTATTTTGCAGGGCCTCAGCCATGTAAATTCAGAGCCCATTGGGTCACTCTGCTCCCAGTAGCACAAGTATTAATGAAGGGCTGGCCACATCCATCCTCAAACAGGTCCTGGAAAGATTCAAAACACAACACACATTCCTAATAATGACTCACAGTTCCGTTGGGAAGACAAAACTGAAGTATGCTAGAAATTTGAACAAAATGGTGTATGGCCAAGCTGTCTTAATTTTTTTGTCTTATTATATGTGTGTGTTTCGCCTGCATGTATGGAAGTGTACCACGTGTGTGAAATAGCCATGGAGGCTAGAAGAGGGTGTTGGATCCCCTGGAACTAGAGTCACTGATGGTTGTTAGCTTCTGTTCAGACAACAGGTGGTGGGGATAGAACTTGGGTTCTCTGTAAGAACATTCAGTGCTCTAGTGAAGGTAGCTTTGAGTTGCCTTCTCCCAGAAGTCCCCAGTCTGTCCTGTTGTCCTGAAGACCTGTATCCCCTCCTCTTCTCTCTCTCATCAAAACAGTCCCAAGGCTGCAACCAGTGGACAAATTTGTATCTTCATCCATTTTTTAAAAAAATTTTAAGTTTATTTGTTATCTCTCGTGTGTGTGTGTGTGTGTGTGTGTGTGTGTGTGTGTGTGTATTATGTGAATGCTGGCACACACACTTAACAGTAGGTGTGAGAGGACAACTTTGAGGAGTTATTTCACTCTTTTCATTGTGGGATCTGGGGATCAAACTCAGGTCATCAGGCTCGCACAGCAAGTACTTCTACTCACTGAGCCATGTGTCTGGCTCCTCGTTCATCTTCCTGATTTGCCCCACATCCTCCTAGCATGGACTGACAGAGTATGCAGTGTGCCTTATCTCCCTTTCTTCCTGCATCCCCTCTTCCTGTCTTTCATAAGGTACCTGACAGAGAAATGATTAGGTCCTCTTTGACCTTGCTGACCTCTTCTTGCTGTGACTTTGAAGGGTGGGAGGATAGGAAAGATGATAGTGAGGTGTTCAGGCAGTGTGGATAAGGAAATGAAACCAACAGCAATTAACTGAGAGACAGGCTGACATAGCCTGATAGGTGGGAAGGAGAGAGCCAGGTCCAATGGTCCTTCTGTACAGGTGTCATTTGGGAGACACATATGGCAACTTGGCATTTGGAGCACTGGTCCCTGTCCTTGGAGCTGTCTCCTCCCTGGGTCTCTGGCCCTCTCCTCTATCTGGGGTTGTCCAAGACTCCTTGTTTCCACAAGGAGCCTGTGAGTCACAGCTTTTGTTGACGCAGGCCAAGCAGAGCACAGTTCTCTCACTCTGTTGCTAATGTACCGAGATCCAGCTGGGTTGGTACATACTTGTCTTTGCTAGTAAAGAGAATAAACATCATTGTGTGTTTTGCTCTTTACGTGATAATCTGCCTCCCAGAGGAAGGGACGCTTGTTTCCTGAGCATTCTGAGTAAACACAGAGCTTTCTGCAGAACAAAGGCTGGTGCTGGGCAGGACTCAGGGGCCAGTCATGGGCCATGCCCAAGGGAAGAACTGCAGGCTGATGACTTGGCTCTCTCCTCTGAGCTGCCCGTGTCAGCTCCAGGTTGCCTTCCTCCTGGCCACGCCTTTTCCCACGACTGCTCCTAGGACCCCATTTTCTGTTCCGGTTATCTCATCGTTTCTAACCCACAGCCACCTCTTCTCTGGAGTTACTCGTACACTCTTCTTTTCCTTTCTCTGATTTCCCCACTAAGATGGCGATCACCAAAGCTCAATGGCCTTGCTCGCCCGTGTCAGCTCCAGGTTGCCTTCCTCCTGGCCACGCCTTTTCCCACGACTGCTCCTAGGACCCCATTTTCTGTTCCGGTTATCTCATCGTTTCTAACCCACAGCCACCTCTTCTCTGGAGTTACTCGTACACTCTTCCTTTCCTTTCTCTGATTTTCCCACTAAGATGGCGATCACCAAAGCTCAATGGCCTTGCTCACTGATGTTGGGGAGTTATACGGAGGCAGTTACGTCTTTCACCTCTCTTCTTCCTTCACTCCCCCTTTGTGATCTTTCCTGTGCACTGTGACCTTTACCCATATAGATGATGAGTACCTAGGATACCTGGCCTCCCCAGCACACATGTGTCACTCCCTGTTTTATTTGTATTTTATTTTTCTTCTGTTGGTGATCCAGCGCAGGGTCTTATGCCCACTAAACTTATTCCCTTTAAAAACCTCAAAACATGTTGACTCTGTTTTGTTATTTTCTTTTAAAAATATTTTTATTGATTCTTTGAGAATTTTACACAATGCATTTTGATCATATTCAGAACCCCTCCCCAGTCTCCATCCCTACCCTACTCCCCCTCCCCTCTCTCCCATCAGCTGACAATGGCCAGTAGTTCCTCAAGTAGGGCTGGCGTTCTTGCCCACCTCCCTATCCATGCTGGGTTTTTGTCTGGCTTGGGCTTGCAGAGGGCTTTTAAAAATAATATTTTTATTTATCCTTTGAAAATGTCATAAGTGTATATAGTGTATCTTGATCATATATCCATCCCTCTCACCTCACTCTTCCTACTGAATCTAGTACCTTCTCTTTTGCTTTCTGCCGAGGAAGGTTTCTTGGTGCTTATCTATTTGTATGTGTGTGTATGTGTGCAAGTATATGTGTATGCAAATGCAGGCCAGAGGCCAACCTTGCATGTTCTTCCTCAGGAACCATCCACCTCATTCTTTCAGACACCGTCTCCCACCGAACCTCGTGCTCATCCATCAGGTTAGGCTAGCTGGCCAGCAAGCTCCAGGAGTCTGCTTGCCTCTTTCTCCTCAGTGCTGGGGTTAGAAGCAGGAGTTACCTTGATCTTTTATGTGGGTGCTGGGGTTTGAACTCAGGCCCTCATGCTTATGTGGTAGAACTCTTTATTGACTACATTATCTCCCCAGACCCTTGATGTAGTTGTTAACTTCCTTTGTAATTAATCAAAAGCTCACCCTCACGGCCCCAGTGCTAACTCTGTTCCACTTCTGATTTGGAATGCTTGTACTTCAGTGTGTTGAGGGTTTGGTGACCTGGCTAGTGGTGTATCTCTGAGAGTTGGGGTGCTTCTTCCCCAAGATGTGTCTCCCAAGCTTCCTCGATAGTATGGTGGCAGGAATTCATGTGATAGAAGGTATCTAACATAATGGAGATCTACAGATTTCTTTCTGCTCTCTGGGCATTTCTGAGTTTCTCTGACCATGTGTCTGGGAGTTTTCCTGAGGTTTGAGGGAGTGGTGGGTCTAAGAACATGATGTGTTATAACAGCCAAGACTAGAACAGCTGGACCCTGCAGTCTTTGATGCCTGCCCCTCTGGCTGTATAAAGAGGGGACAAACCCATAGACAATCGCCAGCCTGCTGTCCTGCATTTGCTTCAGTCTCTTTCACCTTTTAGATTCCAGAGGGACAAACTATCTGTTGCCTGTGACACAGTTAGGACCCTTTCTGGGGGCAGGTGGTAGGTGAGATGCCTCATCTCAAGGGGGGATTTAGACAAGTCAGGACTCAAGGTGCATCTTGGTCCCTCACTTCCAGCTACTTCAGTGGCCTCAGTTTCATCTGCTAAGTTTCTCTGGTTCCTGTGGAGAAGCCACTAAAAGGAAACGGTGAGAGAGGAAAGTAGAGGAGCCATGAGATGCTGCGCTGGCTCATCCTTGAAGGTGGAGGCCCAGAAGTCCTTTGGACTGAGCAAAGAGGACAAAACCTGGAAACCCAGCATAGTGCACACTGGCATGGAGCCACAGCCTAGGGGCACAGGCCAGGTGGGCTGGGCGATACTGGCACATGGAGGGACGCTGTTGACACCACCTCATTGGCTTGCAACTGGTGTGGAGGTGGCTGCTGAGAGTAGAATGTGTGTCACAGCTGGGGAGGAAGATCTAAAAGCAAGTCACATTACTCCCAGGATTCATGAACTTGGGGAGTTGGAAACTGGTTCCTCCTTGATTTCTGCCTCCTTCTCCGACTCTGGTGATCTTGGAGACACACTTCTGATCTGAGCCTTCCAATGACCTATGCTTTTCATTCATTTATTCCCTTGTGAAATATCTTTGGGCACTGGGACACAATTGGCTGACACAGCCACCCCAGGGGACCATAGCGGTAGACTGTCACTTTAGAGGTAGACCTAGGGTGTCCCAAAGGAGCGCTAAGATCCTTGGGAGGGTACCCTCTCCTTGGA